ATTCGAACCCACCACCTTAGGTGTATGTGGCTGGTGCCTTAGCTGCTTGAGCCACAGGCGCCAAGCCTGTTTGTTTTTTTTTCTTAATTGAAACAAAATACTTAAAAAATTAATGATGACCAGGCATCCTAGCACTTTGGGAGGCTAAGGTGCAAATTTCTTTTAATAACTCAGGATCCAAATAACTCAGGATCCTCACACGCCAAGCCCCGCAGATGCTCCCTGGCTCTCACATGCTGTTCACAGCCTGTGCACTCACCCCACCTCTGCCTCTAGAGCAGCGGTTCTCAACCTGTAGGTCACAACCCCTTTTTTCCATTTGCAACAACGTGGCAATTAGGAAGGTTAAGAGCCACTCTCTAGAACCACTCTGTCCTGGCTGTGTTCCCAGCTTGCAGGCCTTCCAGGCCCTGTCTACATCTTTCTTCTCAACCTACTTTCACCTGAGCAGCTTCCAAGATTCCCTGCAGCTGAGCCCCAGTTCCTGGAGCCCAGACTGTTTCTGGAGTGCCACCTTATTCTCCTCCCTACTTGGATGCCCCAAGGGCACCTCAATCTCAGCCTAAGCAAAAAGTGGTTCTCATCTTCTCTCATGAAAGCTATCTTTTCTACCTCCATGTCTGAGTTGGTGGCACTACTCTGTCCCCAACCACCTATCCCTCCCCCACACCCAGGAACATCACTGACTCCCAACTCTGGCCTCTGAGCAGTGGATCCCCCAACTGTGTGTGTGCCCACTGCCCTGCTTGATTAGTAACAGTCACTGCCACCCATCAGGCACCTGCTGTGTGCCAGGTAATGTGTGAGCCTTACTGCTACTGCTCTGCACTTTCTTCTCGGCTTTGAAGACTTAGGTCCTGCTTCCTTGCCCAGGCTCACCACTGGGATACCTCCCTCTGTCCCTGACCTTCTCTGGCCACCACCGCTGCATCAGGCAGTAGAGGGAGAGGCATCTTGTTTCAGATGTCTCCATCCTACATCTGACCGTTAACACCAGGGGGACAAGGACAATGTCTTATTTGCTTCTAGTACAGGACCTGGAGCGTAGCCAGTACTCCAGGATGACCTTTTTTTTTTTCAGGATGACCATTTTTATTTTTATTTATTTTTTTGAGACAAAGCCTCAAACTATTCCCTCTGGGTAGAGTGCTGTGGCATCACAGCTCACAGCAACCTCCAACTCCTGGGCTCAAGTGAGTCTCTTGCCTCAGCCTCCCAAGTAGCTGGACCACAGGCGCCCACCACAAAGCCCAGCTATTTTTTGGTTGCAGCCGTCATTGTTGTTTGGTGGCCTGGGCTGGATTCAAACCCACCACCTTAGGTGTATGTGGCTGGTGCCTTAGCCACTTGAGCCACAGGCACCGAGCCAGGATGACCATTTTTAATGACTGAAAAATACATTTACTATCTTTACCTAATAATTTCCTCATTACTGGATATTTAAACTGCCTTTCCTTTTGTTTCTGGGTAAATCTATATATTTATATATATATATATATTTTTTGAGACAGAGCCTCAAGCTGTCCCCTTGGGTAGAGTGTTATGGCTTCACTGCTCACTGCAACCTCCAACTCCTGGGCTCAAGCGAGTCTCTTGCCTCCGCCTCCCAAGTAGCTGGGACCACAGGCGCCCGCCACAGCGCCCGGCTATTTTTTGGTTGCAGCCATCATTGTTGTTTGGCGGGTCCGGGCTGGGGACTCGAACCCGCCACCTTAGGTGTACGTGGCTGGCGCCTTAGCCAGTTGAGACACAGGCACCGAGCCTATATATTTATATTTTGCTATAATGGTATCATTCATCCTTTTTATTTCTATATTTTCTGAATCTTTTAAAAAAGTAAAACTTTAGAACACAGCTTATTATGACATTTTGCTTTTTAATGTAACCAATACAAGCCCTTTGATTATCAGATTGTAGAATATTTTTACTTTTCAGTATTGCTACAATTGTGATGACACTGATATCCTATTTACATTGTTATTTGGAAAAATACCTTTTTAAAAATCTTTTATTATGCATTAGAGGGTGAATGTTCTATTTTTAAGTTTTATTAATCATTTTAAAACATTCACAGGTACTAACAATTCTACATTTACGTAATTATCCTGATCACTGTTTAGTCTGTGATCTTGGTTTCTATATTTCTTTCAGTTTATTTCCAGGCGACTCCCTGCCTCCCACCCTTATCCCCAATTGAAGGGCTCGGTCCTCAATGCCTTACACTGAGCCATTTTTGTACCCTTCAGATCATAAGGAAAAATATAATGCTAATAATAATGCGCTGGTCTCTGTGCTAAAGTCCTTTATTTATTTATTTTTGTTTGCTTCTTTGTGGTTTTTTTTTGTAGTTTTTGGCCGGGGCTGGGTTTGAACCTGCCACCTCTGGCATATGGGACCGGGGCCCTACTCCTTTGAGCCACAGGCACTGCCCTGCTTCTTTATTTTTGAGGGTCTTGCTATATTGCCCAGGTCTCAAATTCCTGGGCTCCAGCAATCCTCCTGCCTTAGCTTCCTGAAGAGCTGGGATTACAGGCATGTGCCACTCTTCTTGGCTAAGGTCCTTTAAAAGTACTGTCTGATTAGGCCAGGCGCAATCCTAGCACTATGGAGGTGGAGGCGGGGATTGAGTTCAGGAGTTCGAGACCAGCCTGAGCCGGAGGAACACCTTGTCTCTAAATCATCTGGGCATGTGTCAGGCACCTATGGTCCCAGCTACTTAGGAGGCTGAGGCAAGAGAATCACTTGAGCCCAAGAGTTTGAGGTTTCTGTGAACTATGACTACACTACATTATGGGAACTATAGCATTCTTCTGAAGATGCGTAGTGAGACACCGTCTCAAAAAAAAAAAAAAAGAAAGTAAGTTGACATTCTGGTTGTTTTTTGGAGTATAAAGTAGCTAATAAGTAAATATGATTAAAAAACCACTTTGCGGCTCGGCGCCTATGGCTCAACCGGCTAAGGCGCCAGCCATGTACACCTAAGGTGGCGGGTTCGAATCCCCAGCCCAGACCCGCCAAACAACAATGACGGCTGCAACCAAAAAATAGCCGGGCGTTGTGGCGGGCGCCTGTGGTCCCAGCTACTTGGGAGGTGGAGGCAGGAGACTCGCTTGAGCCCAGGAGTTGGAGGTTGCTGTGAGCTGTAATGCCACGGCACTCTACCCAGGGGGACAGCTTGAGGCTCTGTCTCAAAAAAAAAAAAAAAAAAAAACCACTTTGCTATTAGATGGGAAAAATCATGGTCCTGGTGCCAAGAAAAATCAAGTCCAAATTCCTTGCTATGTTTGGGTTTCCCTTGGAAACTGCTGCAGATGCTTCACTCCTGAGATTCCCCACCTCACCCTTGTGGCTACTGCCTCCAGGCTCAGAGGGGCTGGCCTGCCTGCTATCCCAGCAAAGAAACCTACAAGGCCGGAATGGAGTTACCTTTAAGAATTCCTTGAAGTCTGTGTCTTCATCTGTCTTCTGCTGTAACAGAGCTGCTCCATTCAGCTGACAGCTGCAGAACCGGATGTACGCCTGCATGTGGGACAGTTCAGCTGCCAGGATGTCCCCGATCATCTGCACCGGCATCTTCTCACCCCCAGTCTTCTTCCGTACTCGCAAGGCCCTGCAAAAACACACTCTCACTTTTTGTTTCTAAGTGAATATCCTTGGTAATTGAAGGACGGATAACATGGCTAGACCAATGGTACCAGTGAGTTACCTAATAACCTCTGGTACCGGGAGAGAAAAGTCAGGAGGAAGAGAAGGCAACGAGGGCTGAAAGCTCTGCTGGCGAAGCCAACCTGGGTGAAATATAGCACAAAGAAAAAGATGTCTATACACTTGGGTGTTTCTAGGTCTTTAGGATTGTTGTGGCTTCACCTTAGCTTCTCAGTAAAATTTCTTTTGAAAATTCTAATATGTTCTCAGTTGAACCAAGAAAAAAAATTTCCAGTCTGTAAGAGAAAAAATGCAGCAGGGGCTGCAGAGGTCAGGTGTGGAAGCAGAGGGGCATCGCCTCTGAAGAGAGCTGCTGACCCCAGGACAGCAGAGACACAGGTAGAGCTGGGACTGCCAATCCTTCTCCTGGGAGTCTGTCCTCACAGGCATGAAGGAAGCAAAATCACCCCAAGGCATGGAACTCAGTGTGGGAGTTACACCTGGGCCACGAGCCACAGTTCTCTTCTGACTCTACCACCCTACTGCCAGAGTCAAGGACATCTTGCATGATGGAATCATGGATGCATGGAATCATGCATTAACATACTGTTTAATGATTTAATTTTTTTGTTATATTTCTTTACTTTCTTCAATAATTATGTATTTTACAGTTAAAAGGCACTTCATAGAATTATTATAAAATAAAAGGCCCGAGGGAGCAGAAAACAGGTGAAGCTCCTTTGCTAAGTAGCCCCCACAGAGGGTTATGTGTGACAGTCTCAGGGGTGTAGGGGTAGCCGGGTGTGGGGGTAACCCGGTGCAATGACAGATAGGCGATGCTCATGACTCACTTTAGCAGCTTTGTGTTAGACATGATGAGCTCTTTCCAGTTAACAAAGATCAAGGCCATTTCTCCTTCAGTGAGAAAGCCTGATTCTGCCATCCGTTTCTGAAAAACCTAAATTCAAAACAGAACAAGTTAGCAGAGTGTGGGGACACGCCCTGTGGGTCTGAATCAAGCAATGTCTTCATCCACAGAGACTAGTGAGACCACGGTGTTTCTGTATAAGCACACTTGGGACTGTGACATCTAACACCACATGCCTTCCCTACTTTGTAGGGATGACTACAAAGGACGAGGATGACTCTGAGGACTGAATCTCATTAAAAGGACATTCTCAAACCTACCTTATGAGGATGTCATGAAGGTTGGATGAAACCATGGGCATACAGCATCTACACATTGTGAGAGCTGCAGATTTGAGGAAGGTTGAGGACCTCAGAGTTCTGCCCCACAGCTGGGGAGAAGCTCAATGAGAGGACCAGGGTAATGACCTGGCTATCTACGAGACTGGCCCAAGTGGATTCTGGAGATTGGCTGACTCTGTATTCCACAGCACTGCTACGTACATACTCATGTGTACGCAGGTATTGGGGTGCGTGTGTTTGTAGGGTTATCAATTAACTTCATGGATGATGTGGCTGAAGCCGAGTCAGGTATTAACTACTCTCAATTGACCCATGAAGAAATAAAGGCTCATAGAGTGATTTGCTCAAGGTCACAAAGCTAAACCACGGAGGAGTTAGAACTAAAACTCAACTCTTTTTAATTCTAAATCCAAGTTTGCACTAAATAGCTAAGACTCCTAGGGGATGACTTTTTGTAAAAGTCTTAATGAAATAAATAGTCAAGTTATCTGAGACAACTCTTCTCATTTGCAATCTTTCCAAAATACAGGACATACTACTCTATGGAAGTGCTTCAGAGGCTCCCTGCTAGGTTTGTGGGAAGATAAAAACTCTGTGAGGTTCTCAAGTCCTGTGAGATCCACCCCTGCTGACCTCACCATCCTGGCCCTCAGGTATATGCTGGATAGTCTGTAGGTCCCTCATCCCCTTTGAATGCATCTTCCACTTCTGTTTCCTCCTCCTGGCCCAGCAAACTCACCCCTGTCTGTAGCATAACTGGGAAAAGAAGTCCTTGCTGGTGGGGGTGGTTCTCTCCTCTGTGCGCCAGTCTCCACTCACCCTACTGGGACGTCTGTAACTTGATGGGAATGTTCTCACCTCTTTGTTCTGGCACAGTGCTTTGTGCTTTGCCCAAGGTGAGTTTTCAATTAATGCTTACAGAATTCAGTTGCACATGGATTCATAGAATTCAGATGAAAGTTCCGGACACTCTCTAAAGCAATGGTTCTCAACCTTCCTAATGCCGCCTAATGTCGTACCCTTTAACACAGTTCCTCATGTGGTGACCCCCAATCATAAAATTATTTTTGTTGCTACTTCATAACTATAATTTTGCTACTGTTATGAATCGTAATGCAAATATCTGAAATGCAGGATATATTTTCATTGTTACAAAGGGGTCGCGACCCACAGGTTGAGAACTGCTGCTCTAAAGAGTTTTAAGGTTCCACATCAGACTGAAGAGGTCAGGCCACTCCTAGCAGAGTGTCCCTTAAGCTGGTTGATCTGTTCTGGGGCTGTTACTGGAGGACAAGGAAAGCACCTGGTTGTCTATTTGTTCTTTCATTCACTGATTAATTTATGCCACGTTGTTTAGTCCCTGCATTCAGCTGCTCTGTGCTGGGCTGGGTGGAGGTAAGCAGAGGGGAGTAAGATGGATGGGCCCTCTCGGAACCTTCCTAGGAATGGAGAGCAGAAAGTGGCATCTGTGAACAGTGCTTTTCACCCTAACTCCTTGACCCTGACAGGACAACTAGTCCTTCACAGCATCTCACGAGGCTGGCAGAGTGGGAATACCCAAGGCCCTGAGTGGCTGAGAGCCTGGCCTGAGGGGGAGGAAGGACCCAGTCACCTTCTGTGCACACCACTTAGAATCCCTCAGGGTTGGAATCTGACCAGCAGCAGGGCTGATCCCAGCAGGGGATTAATGATAAAAGAAGGGCTTTTCTTCTAGGCCATCTGTCCTGGCCAGGGAAGTGCAGACATAACACACCCCATTCACTGAGTACTTATGGGACGGCCCAAGGGCCAGGCGGGCTCTGAGAATGCAGGATGAGGCTGTGCAGCCCCTGGCTCTCAAGGGGCTCACAGACCTGAGGGAGACAGACATTATCACGGGAGAAGCTCAATACAGGGCACGCATGAGAGGAACTAGGTTCTGTGCCTGCCTGGATACTTCTGGCACACAGGCCTGCATTTAGCATGAAGAATGACTCCAGGACAGGACTACTGGGCACAGATGCAGAAGGACGCAGCCTCTGCTCCATTCTGCAGGTTTGCGCCTGTTGGGCCTGTGTAGGGACACTTGTTCTCTTCAGGTGGTCTGTTAAGTTAAGCATCTTCTCACCCGAGGGTCTTGACGCATTTACTGGAAACTAAAAGCCACAGAACAAACATATAATAGAAATATAAAGTCTTCTTTTATTCACTCAGACACCAATCATCTTTTTTTTTACAGTTTTTGGCCAGGGCTGGGTTTGAACCTGCCACCTCCAGCATATGGTGCCAGCGCCCTACTCCTTTGAGCCACAGGCGTCACCTGAAACACCAATCATCTTAAAATTCTATTCTAACAAGGACAGCTGTCATCAGCTTAGAGGTCACTGGTAACATTAATAGGCACAAACAGTAAATATTTGGGAAATATTTTACAATATGCTCCTAATTGGTTTTCCAAACTAATACAACATGAGGTGAACACTTTCACAGCTTCAAAAGTTCCTCAGGGAATACCAACATTTATAAAAACATGAGGTGTCAAACAGCAGGAGAAATACAGTTAAACAGAAACCTGAGGTAGGCGGAGTCTGCTTCAGGGCACTCACATCTGCTCTCCGCCCTGTGCTTCCTGGAAGGGGGTTTCTGCCATAGCTAAGGAAGGCACTCCCATGCCCTCTTGTTCTCCCTCTCCACTCGGGACGCCTAACCTAGGAGACAGCACTCATCCTAATGACAGACTTCCCAGCTCAAGCCTTCTCCAGTGGGCAGAGACAGCACTTGGAAGGGGTGAGAGCTTCTGCCACTATCTGTGAATTTTCACACCAGAAGTGACTCCTGGCTCTGCCCCTGAGCGGAAGCAGCCCCAAGACAGCAGGCGCCCCTAGCGCTAGCCAGCGCCAGGCCCCTCACCTCGATGACAAGCTGGAGGTCATCCATGTACCGCTCTTCAGTCTGGATCAGCTCGTGAATGTAGCCCTGTCTTTTCCTCTCAATTGGCTGCATTGTGTCCAGGGTTTGGAGATCAGCACACCCTGCGGACAGAACAGGGTAAAGTTTAAAACACTTCTGTCAGCTTTGGAGAAAATAGACATTTATCAGCACATGTGCTGGGTTTACAAATGCTGCTTTGAAAGAAGCACCCGGCTCAACACAGAGTGTCCGACCTCCCCGAGCAGCTCACACACGCGGAGCACCAGCCTCGGTGCCCCTCCAGGGCAAATGAGCAATGCCTGGGACATTTCATCCTCTCCCCGATTCCTTTTCTGAGGAGTAATAACAGAATTAAGGATTCTTATAAATGACCTCAAAGAGGTCAGAACTGTGAGGAGCTTGCGAAGAATCTCGCCATCTCAAGACATTTTTAAAGTTACTGAAAGGAGTAAATGAATCACATGCTTGAAGACCAGTGTTTTCCAAACAGCAGGTCATGCATAAGCCACTACTGGGCTGTTACATCAGTTTAGCTTCTAAAAATGCTGGTTCAGGCCAAGCATTAAAAAAAATTAAATAGAAACTATTCCCTCGCAGTTCCTGTGGACATTTTTAGTTAAGTACTGGAGATCTAAAAAGTATTTCTTACTGTGACTGTTATAAAAAATGGTTGAGAAATATGCTCCTAAATTTCTCAAAGGAAAATTCTAAGGTTATAAATCCCCGAATTCCCAGGATCCAGTGACTGCCAGCCAGACCACCGCCTTAACCCATAGGAACAGTGAGCTCCTGGTTTTGGATACACTGCAGGGATCCAGCCACAGGTGACTTTGCGGAAAATCGCCAGCAGCCTGGCGTTAGGGTGAGAGGCACTGTATTCACTCTGGATCGATTCACAGGCACATCAGAGCTGAACTAGATGCCAAACTGTGAAATGACACAATTCCAGAATCATTCAACAAGTAGCTGAGGGTAGACAAGGTGAATCCCTCAGGAAAGCCTTCCTCAAACAAAATGCACAATCAGTGTAAGTTGTCAGAATCTAAGTGGAGTCACTTGTAATAAAAATTCTGATGAATGGAGCCAGAGAAGGCTGTGGAGAGTTTCTCATGCATGAAAGCCCAACAACAGCAACTATCAAAAAGACTCTGCAAAAACCACAGCCTTGCACAAAGGCCATGGCAAGTGTACACCCACATCTGCCCAGCAACTGACTGGCATCACTCCTGATATTGATCCTTAGATCCAGGGATAATTACCTGAAAACAATTATGTGATCTTCCTCACCTTTCCTTCAGAAATCTTTGTTTTCCTTTACCTCCCAGAATATGCTCCTAGTTTCCTATAGGATGTGTATTCCTGTGGCAATGCCATTCCTGAATAAACACCAGTTTCTTTTAGAGAATCTCTCTCTCTGTTTTAGGTTGACAGCAGGGAGTACCAAGAAAGCTACAACATAAACAAGTGGCTTGTGTCAAAAAACTGGGAAAGAGGGCAGTGCCTGTGGCTCAAAGGAGTAGGGTGCTGGTTCTATATGCCAGAGGTGGCGGGTTCAAACCCAGCCCTGGTTAAAAACTGTAAAAAAAAAAAAAAAAATTGGGAAAGAGAACGTGTGGAAGCCCTTTTGTAGCAGAGGCAATCAGGAAAGGCAGCAGGGAGCAGGTGTCCCTGAAGTGGGGGGGCTTGAGGGATGCCAGGTGTCCTGGTCGATGTGATGTAGTGCCAGCAATGGGAATAAACCCCCAAAGCCCCGAGGCAGAACATGCAAGGATCACACTGGGTTTCCAAAGGGGATTTCTCTTTCTGATTTCCTTTGATTTGTTTTTTTTTGAGACAGAGTCTCACTATGTCGCCCTCAGTAGAGTGCCATTGTGTCACAGCTCACAGCAACCTCAAACTCCTGGGCTTAAGCAATTCTCTTGCCTCAGCCTCCCAAGTAGCTGGAACTATAGCGCCTGCCAAAATGCCTGGCTATGTTTTTTTGTTGCAGTTGTCATTGTTGTTTAGCTGGCCCGGGTTGGGTTTGAACCCACCAGTCTTGGTGCATGTGGCTGGCGTCGTAACCACTGTGCTCCGGGCACTGAGCCACCTTTGAATTTTTATATATTTTGTATAGATTTGGGTTTACTGATAGTTCCAATGAAGATAGCTTTGCTATTATCTGTAGATGTCAACAGAACAATAGCTCAAACAAATTACTCCTACAAGGGGAAAAAAATTTCAATAAGACAGGTCATGTTTGATGCTACCAAGATGAAACCACAGTGCTACTGGTCACGCTTTCGGGGGATAGTATTTTATTCTGATCTGCTGGGGAGAGACTGAGTATTGTGAAATTCCTAAGGCTGGTTTGGGTGTTTGCTTGACTAGGCAGAGGAGTTGATGGCCAGATACCTAGCAGAATGGTGCTGCTCAGAGTGGCCAGGCAACTCTGATGGAAGCAACTAGAACAGTTGCTAAGGTTACCCCAACTCTTACACCAGTGTCTTCCAAACTTCATGCTCTGCTTTCAAGATTTTTGCCATATCCAAGTCCACTATTATTTACTTAATATTTTTCTCTAGATTTACTCATTTGAAGTCAAATGTGTTCATTGTGTTTATTCTAAAGTCATTAACATAAATACATAGTAATTCAAATAAAACGAGTTCACCAGGGTACTACTTTGCACATCACTACGTTGTGTACCACAGGAGATGCGTATCACATGTTGAAAACCAATGATTTACATTAAAACCCACAAGCATAGCCTAGCTGGAATAATAGGAAAAGCCTCAGATATTCTGTTGGTTCTAAAGCTGGACCATACATGATATTAGCTTTATCAGGATAATGTGGGATTAAATATTTGTAGGTTATCAATATTTAATCAATTATTAAAATTAATTTCATCTGTTTCTTTTCACTTTTTTTTTTTAATTTTTTTTGAGACAAAGTCTCACTTTTGCTGCCCAGGCCAGGGTGCAGTGGCATCATCTTAGCTCATAGCAACTTCAAACTCTTAGGCTCAAGTGATCCTCCTGCCTCAGTCTCTTAAGAAGCTGGGACTACTGGTGTGAGTCACCATGCTAGTCTAATTTTTTCTATTTTTAAAGGCAAGAGGATCACTTGAGCCTAGGCGGCTGAGGCTACAGCGATCTGTGATCATGCCACTGCACTCCAGCCAGAGCAATAGAGACCCCTAACAAACACACTTGCTCAAGCTGGTCCTGAACTCCTGACCTCAAGTGATCCTCCCACCTTAGCTTTCCAAATGCTACAATTATCGATGTGAGCCACCGTGCTCTGCCCACTTTTCATTTCTCCTTATTGTGACGGTGGGCAATATTTGTTTGTTAGGGGTCTCTATTGCTCTGGCTGGAGTGCAGTGGCATGATCACAGATCGCTGTAGCCTCAACTCCCTGGGCTCAAGTGATCCTCTTGCCTCAGCCTCCCAAGTAGCTGGGACTACTGTGCCGCCATGCCACCAGCTAAGGAAAAATTTTACATTACATATGGGACTGCCTTATGCTCACATTACATTTCTACTGAACAGCTCATGCCAGCTGCTGCATTTTTTATGTTCCTCTCCTCACAAATGTTCAATGTCTTCTCTGTTTGCAGAATGAAGTCCTAACTTGGTGGCCAGGGCTCCAGAGTCTCCACGACCTGGCTTCACCAAGTTTTCCAGGCTAAGCTTTTGCTGCACATTCACCTCTGAGCCCCGGGGCCCCAGTCCTCATCATGTGCCACACACACTCCCCCCGGCTCTGTTGCCGTTTCCTCCTTTCCTCCACCCACGGCCTCTTCCCCATAAAGAACCACCTTACTCACCTTCACGGTGCACCTTGAGGGATGCTACTCTGGGAGACCTTTCCCATCCCTCTGTCCCACTTATCCCCAAACTTCCCTCCTTTGTGTTTCCATGGTACTGGTTTGTTATCTGCATTTTATTTCATTTCTTTTTTTTTTTTTTTGTGAGACAGAGTCTTATTTTGTTACCCTCGGTAAAGTGCCATGGTGTTATAGGTCACAGCAACCTCAAACTCTAGGGCTCAAGGGATCCTCTTGCCACAGCCTCCCTTATAGCTGAAACTACAGGTGCCCACCATGACACCCAGATATTTTTAGAGATAGGGTCTTACTCTTGTACAGGCTGGTCTTGAACTCCTGAACTCAGGCAATCCACTCACCACGGCCTCCCAGAGTGCTAGGATTACAGGCATGAGCCACCACGCCTGGCTGTACCTGTATTTTAAATGTTCACATTATTGGCTCAGTGCCTGTGGCTCAAGTGGCTAAGGCGCCAGCCACATACACCCAAGGTGGTGGGTTCAAATCCAGCCCGGGCCTGCCAAACAACGATGGCTGCAACCAAAAAGTAGCTGGGGGTTGTGGCGGGCGCTTGTGGTCCCAGCTACTCAGGAGGCTGAGGCAGGAGACTCACTTGAGCCCAGGAGTTAGAGGTTGCTGTGAGCTGTGATGCCACGGCACTCTACCCAGGGGGACAGCTGGAGGCTCCTGTCTCAAAAAGAAAAATAAATAAATAAATAAATAAATGTTCACATTATCTAACTTGTGCTGGTTAATCTGTAAGATTGGTGTACTAGTGTCTCCCACTGGAGTTTGGGGCTGTGGCTAACACTGTGTTGGTCTTGTGCCTGTGTGTCCCCAGATCCAGTTCTCACCTTTTCCCTGGTCTGCTCTGGGCTGATAAAAGCCAACCCTGCCTTTTCTAAGCTTCTGTTTTGGTTGGCTTCTGGCTATGCTTGGCTAGTAAGTCTTTTGGTAGGAGACTGAAGATTACAGGGTGGACTAGTAAAAAAAATCCTGCAGTCAGAACAGTGAGATGATACGGCTTTTCATCTTTAGTGGGTAAAGAATGGAAAAGTTAGGCTTGCACCTCACAGAAACTTGGAATTCAAAAATTCCCAAACTTATGAATTAATACAAAAATTGGTTCTTGGCAGTAATACCCTCAGTGGGGTTGGCCAAAGAAAATGTACAACTCGTCTGGCGGGTCACACTCACCACCTGCTTCCACAGGATATCCAGAAGACCTAAGTCTCTCTAAAGATGAGCTCAAAGTAAAACAATTACAAAAAACAAGGAACAAATCTA